TAGCGAGGTGCGTTCCTGGCATCGAAGGCGGCCTGGAGCTCGGCGATGGCAAACTCCTTGGGGTCCCGGCCTTCTGGCACCGCGGGCTTTCCATAGACCGGGGCATCCTCCCGTCTGGTATAGAGGTGCCAGATGCAGGCCACGAGAAGGAGGACATCCACCAAAATGGCCATGACGATGCCAAAGGCGAGCTCGTCGAAGCCATCATCGCCGGGCTGCTGGGCCTTCACGACGGCCAGCACTGAGAAACAAATCCAAGCTCCAAGGTGCATGGCGCAAAAGAACGAGCTGATCTGTTCCTCCCGAAGGGTATGATGTTTGAGCCGACTCTAGCCAGAATCAGAAATTCGAAGTGAACGCTCCCGGGGAAAGTGCCGGCAGGGGATTTGCAAAGCAGTGCAGGGAGCCACGGAACCTTCAAAACCGGGCCTGGCGATGTTCAGCTCAACTGCACGGCTCTGTAGGAGCCTCAGTCGTAGACGGGCTTAGGGTCGCGAGGCGTGCGCAACGGAAGACGATGGTGCTTGGCCGAGTTTGTGCCCAGTAGCCGATCCAAAGCTCTGACATGCGGATGGCCGTGTTGGTCATGCCGTACGGTCCGCTACAGCCGCTACAGGCAACTACTTGAGCTTCGGCCTTGGCCTGTACTGTGAAGCTCCGAGCCCGAGCCCAGTCTTGACGAATTCCGACTTGAGCTGTTTCAAGATCTGACCGAGACTGTCAGCCAACTACTTCGACACTGCCAGCAAGCCGAGTGGTGCCCTACGCAGGATGCTCTTTGACCTCTGGCCCAATGAAGCTCGAGAAGCAAGGCCTCATTCGAGGCTGCACCTACGCGTCGCTGGCATTCGCGGACCAGCAACTGAGCATGCAAACTTCGAGCACGTCGTCTCTGTCAGGAGAAATAATCGTCACCAGTCGATCGCGACTGCACTCTGCGACTTGGAGATTTAATCAGCTGGCATTGGCAGGCAGACAGCAGAGTCGCTGTTCCTGTGGTTTCCACACCCCGACAGATTGCTTTGAAGCTGTCAGCCCACGAATCGCCTGGGGGGATTAACACGTGAAACCGCACACTGGCGGAGCTTCTTCTGGGGGCAAGCGCCGCCCCCGAACGAACCAGCTCTGCAGCAACTTCGGCTGCAGCCTGGGCTGTGTGGATCATTTGCGGCGCAGCCATGGATGCTGCAGGAGATCTTTGGCCTCAGCACGCATCCCCATCTCGCAGAATCTTGCGTTGATGCTACGATGACAGGCTTCTCGGATTTCGTTCAGCCCGGGGGTGTGTGTAGGTTGGCTGCCCTCTTTAGCTCGGGAGCGCAGTAGTGGTTACGACATGCAGCACAGCCTCGCTACTGCTCCTAAATGCATGCAGCCATCATAAAGGACTGTTGTTGCAGTCCGGACCATTCCCTGATCTGACGAGTGCATGCTCGTCTTTCTCCGGTTTATCACGGAACTTTGCTCAGCTCCGGCTGCCAACACCCGTATTGTCACTGCCCCTATCACTTCCGGCCAACTCGTCGAGTTTCGTAACTCCGAGTCTCAATCTTGAGACCAATGATTGAACCGCTGCGCTGCCTTGCGCAAAAACCTGGACCCTTCCTCCCAATTTCGCTTCGACCTCCTTTCAGCTTCCGGGTCGCCGGGAGTCTCTCCGTGGCTGCGCAGCGCAGGCAGGCAGTGTAGAGGAAGTCGCGACAAGGCTCCGAGATGTACATGGAAGACTCCTGAAAGATGACGCCAGGCGGCAGAAAGGGGGGGGCGCTTGAGGGGGAGCCCTTGTCAAGCTGAGTCCAAGCTGCAGGGAGCGAGGGCCTCTCTCCCTTCTCCGTCAGGACACGAATCTGATGCGCAGCAGCGAGGGGATTGTCGGCAGTGACCTCCCCAGAACGTCTCTCATCAGCCGCTGGCCCTCTCTGCTTATCCGACTGGCCTGGGTTGCCCAAGGTCGCAGAGCCGTCAAGAGCTCGATGACAGAGCAGCCGAAAGACCAAATGTCGGCCTCAGCAAGGGCGAGGATCGGCGAGACTCAAGCCTCCTTCTCATTCCTTCCTGAGCTGATCTAGCCTCCTCTAATCTCTAATCACTCTTGCGAATTCTGCCAAGCAGGGTTGGGCTTGAGGAAGCCAGGATGTAAGGCCGCGCAACAGAACCAGCCCCTTCAATGTGACTCCCCGTGCCAAGCGGCACTCTGGTCGTAGGGAGCACCGATGAGCAGCTCGGGCGGGAGCCTGCCGTGGTCTGCTCCCGGAATTAGCGAAGACGGCAGAGTGCAGGGAAACAGGCAAAGATGGAATTCTCGCCCGGGGCGCCAGAATGGACTTCCGACCAAAGACATCGCCAGGACCTCCTTTGCGATCCAGCGTGAGCCTGAGACTTCAGGTGAAGTTAAGAGCGAGGACAAGCACGGGAATGGGCATTCTGTGACTCAGTCAGCACTTGTCCTCACACGTTAAGTGCGAGCCGGGCACAGCCAAAGTCGGAAATTTTGACCTGGGACAACGGCGTACAGATACATGGCGATATCGAGGGTCTGGCAAAGTCACGTTAAGGATGTGCTGCTGCAGTCCGGCGGCTCTCCCCGAGACATCAAGCAGAAGGTTGCTGCACTTCAAATCTCGGTGCAGGACCTCCCACAAAAGCCACCGCGGGAATGCTTGCAAGGGCTCACGCTTGTGCACTAAAGCAAAGGGCCTGCTGCTCGTGTAGGTATTCCAAGCCTTTCAGCACCTCGACCAGCCAGAATACAGTACAAGCGGACCCGAAGAAATCAATGTCGCGACAGGCAGGCTGAACGGCTGTAAACAGGATGCACCAGCGACAACCATCTGAAATGGAACTGCTGGGAACGGCACCTGTTCGCCCAAAGCAGCACAAAGATCCTGCATCAAACTCGACATGCTTCACAACATCTGGTACATCCAGCAGAACCCAACATGGCGCATGGCGTGTGCTGCCAACCTCCTGAAAAGCACCAAACTCCTCTATCTTGTCCTTGAGAGTGCCTGTCCGGGGAGCGTCCGGACTCAGACCAGAAAGCTTGACCTGGTCCCCACGCTTCGACCGCCTTCCGGCATGTATTCCAAGAAGATGTAGAGCTGCCGGTCGTGGATTTCATGGCCAAGGTAGCTCACCTGGCGAGAGAAGCTACTCAATGGCAGCGGTGGTCGGTGGTGGTAGTCTGTAGTGGCAGTCGGTCGTCGTCGCCGTCGTCGTCGTCGTCGTCGTCGTCGTCGTCGTCGTCGTCGCTGTCGTCATCGTTACCATCGTCGCCACCGCCGTAGCACTCGCAACAGCAGCAGCAGCAGCAGCGGCAGCAGCGGCGAAAGCAGTAGTAGCAGCAGTACTGGCAGGAGTTAGACCAATATACTTAGCAAGTGGCAGCACAAGTTCAGGAACGAGTCCTGGTCACAGCACTTGCACACATGTGCTTGGTCAGATCACACGCATACCTATATGATACATACGACATACGTCATAAGAGCTAGAGTTAGCACGCGAAGGGCCATGGAAAACTACCTGCACAACCACTTCAGCACCGACCTGCCTACGTAGAGACATAATGTCACATATGCGTACATGCATGCATGCAATTATCCATGCATACATCCATCCATATATGCATGCATACATACATGCATATGTAAAGGCAGGAGTACATACAAGCGACAACACATGCACATACATTCACATGCGAAGACGAGTGTACAAAAGCTGAGAGACAGAGGGAGAAAGCGAGAGCGAGAGCGAGGACGAGGGAGGCGAAGGGAGAGAGAGAGAGAGAGCGCGGGAGACTACACGCATTGTTTCCTCCTCTCTTCCTGTCTCTCATCACATCTGAGCCCGGCACGATGTGCTCGTGTTCCAGAGACCTCTGAATTCTCTGGCAGCAGCGCACATGCTACTAGTAACATCAAAAATGTCAGCGACCCGAGGATAATAGATAGTGATAGCATAGTCAGCCCTGCGAGATGGCTATGTAGCCAGTATGAGTTCAGATAGTGCTCCACAACCCATCTCAGAGGCAAGCTGGAGCATCTCGAGCTCCTGGTGAAGCTCTTTAGACTCCTCCACGACCTTCACGGCAAAGGACTCGCCTGTCAGCTGCGGCATAAGAGCAGGGGCGAACAGGCCGAGCGCACATGGGGTCGGGGCGCGCCTGAAGCCGAATCCAAAGCGTGATAGACCACTCCGTGGGCTCCCTGACCAATCACCTGGCACCGACCGCACCAGAGCTCATGCTCGGCAGTCCGGACGGCAGCGCCATGTTCAGATCGCTGTCAGCTTGCTTTGTCACGGATTCGGATTCCCAATGTTGCAGCTATTCAACAACCCTAATCAAAGCTCCCACTACTCTTAAGAGCTCCCTATGATTCAGCCCCGCAGCTGCCAGAATTGGGCGAAGCAATTTTCAACGAGGCCTTCCCGAGCTGCCAGGCGCTGCCGATCTGACGGGCGCCCGGCCTGGAGTTGGGGGCTACTTGGAGGTTCGTGGGTAGTTATAAGTAGGGTTATAAGTCCCCTAATATGGGTTATAAGTATAGTTACCCTACTTATAACCCCACTTATAACTACCCATGAACCTCCAAGTAGGGGCCACTTCAGGGTTTAGGGCTTTGGGGCTAGGGCTGGGGGAGAGCCGTTCAGTTTGGGGCTTCGGGCTCATGTGGCGAAAGGCTTCCGAGCCAGGTGAGAAGTTGCAGTGGTGCCATCGCACACGGCTTTGCTGCGATAATGTCTTTGTCCGCTGGGCCTTGTATCAATGATTTCCCATCGAACCGGGAAGTCTCTGCGCAACAATACTTCAGCAAAGATCGAAGCTGGATCGGCCTCATCGTCGCCTTCTTCGCCAACAGTCGCTGCCTCAAACAGGAACGCTGAGGAGCTGATCCGATGATGTTATGTGTTCTAGACCCCTACATCAATTCCGAAAGCTGCATTCCTGACTTTCCTCTCCTATCACAGGGCTCAAAGAAACCTGAAACATTCTTCAGAGAGCCTACATCATGGCTTCATGCTTTGCTTCATCGCGGGCCGCCCAGGTGCTGGATCTCGGCACGACCGCGATCGCGCTCTGAGCGGAGCTGTGCGTGCAGGTCCCAGAGGCAGGGCAAAGTGGCAGTCACCTTCAAAGGAACGGAAGTTAATAGTCGCGTGCAGTGCAGATGACAACGACAAAGAGATGTGTGGATTGAGGGGTTCGGGCCGCTCGGGCCCAGCGAATGCCGGGGGCACTGATGGCAGGGCCGCGGGTGGGCCCTGCACCAGTCTCTTAACAGAGCTCTTCCACGCCCAGAAACCCATCCAAAGGATTCCAAAGGTTAAGCTGAACAGTTCCCGGTTTTCGAATTTCCGGGGGGATCTCCGTATGTCCATTGCAGGCAAAGGGCTCGCTCCGCCGTTTGCTGGATCCTCAGAGGGATGCCTGACATTGAGCTGAGGGCAGGGTTATTTTTTCAATGTACGGTGCAGCGGCACGTGATGGTCAAAATGGATTATGGGTCTTAGCTGCCTGATCTCATGGTGATTCCACAGTATACGAAGTCAAGAAACTAAGAGTGTGTTGTGGTACAGCAAGAACATGTCATAATATTGCAATTAAACCGGAATAAACCAGTGCAACGGGGAGACAAGGCCTTGGCAGAACTCCGACAGCAACGGCATTGCTGCCAGCGCATCTAGGACCTGGCCGAAGAAGCGACTGCTCAAACTTACACCGAAGACTCCCGGATTCCTCGAGGACTTTCGGCCTCCTCCCGATTCTCGCGTTGCAAGGCAATGGGAACTTCGCCAGTTTCCAGCTGCGACCGGTCAGCAACCTGCAACACGGGTTTGGCTACACGGATGCACTCACATCGAGTGCGACAAATCCACGGGGTGCCTTGCTGTAGACAGCGTCCCCGTACCAGTTCTTGGCTTTGGACATCCACTCCTCCTTGTTCTTCCAAATGTCCTCCCCCCACGGCGGCTCTAAAGCAAAGCACTTGGCACGCTGCTGCACTTGCAGAGCGCACCTTCCAGTAGAGATGGCGGTGCACTCCTCGGCTCCAGCCCACTCACAAAGGTGCAAAGGCAACCTAGCCCAGCCCAGCCCAGCCCCCCAGCCACAGGAGCCCCATAAAGAGACCCCATGAAGAAGCCATCCCTCCGCACTGCTTCTGCTTCTGGGCCGCGGAAGAGGAAGAGCTGCGCGGCGTCGCGCGCCTGCAGCGGTCGAAGCTCCAGGTTGTCCGTCTTCAGGCCCGCGAAGGAATTCTGCACCTCGGGCGTCGGGGAGCAAAAGTCCACTCTGGAGTCTTTGTTTCTGAGAGTTTTCTGAGTGACGAGAACAAGCCTCTAAGTCGGGCTCCTCCTGGCCACACGAGGGAACGACCATCTGAACGATCCCCGAACCCGGCCAGAAACCCGCTCTGGCAAGGCACATGGATCCGGCTGCCGAAGAGGAGGCAGAGTCGCTCAGTGGCTTGGAGCATGTCCGCCAGGAGCCCCCTGTGAGCAGTCCGGAGGAAGGCAAGCTTGTGTCCGGTGGGGAGTTTCAGGCTTGGGATTGAGTCGAGGATGAGTTCATGTCGTCACAGCGTGGAGTTCGGTCGGTTCGAATCCGACTCGCAAGGGCATGGTGGATTTGCACCATGCAGACAACCGTCGCAGAAGACGAACCCGACCTAATGCCACAAGCTCCAAAGGTTGTAAACCCTGCAATTCCCTATCAGCGGCGAACGAGACACCTCTAGACTTTCCCGGGGCTCAAGCATAGCTCAACCGACATGAGGCGGCCTACTTCTGCTAAGCTATCCAATTCCTCCCCGGACAAACAGTACTTAGAAATCACAGACACGCTGACTCCGTTTTCCCCTCTGCATGATTATGTTTGTTGCTGCTGCGATTGCTACAGCCGACACCTGGATCACTTGCGTTCGCTGTCGGCACTGCTCCTGCTGCTGGTGCTGCTGCTTGCTGTTGCTGCCACCGGCTGGTCGTGCTCGAGTTCCTCACCCTCCTCTACTTCTGCGTCTGCTGATACTGCTACTGCGAGTACTACGACGACACTAACGGCGAAGCTTTGGACATTGGAAACCCGATCTGCACCTGACCGCTGAACTGTCCACCCAGTCCTCGATGCCATCCTGAGCTAAGGGTTCAAGCAAGGTTTCTGGGTGGTTCCGCCAACTTGTTCGCTGGGTTTGATTATCTTCGAATATGAAACTGACATGCACCGCTTTTGATTAAATACGGTTCAGGAAGGTATCTTCTGTGACTGCTCAGCAAAAGGCTTTCTACAGAAAGGTCGGCCGGGAACGTTCTTCCTGATTGGAGCCAGGAGTTTCTGCGTGAAGAGTTGGCCGTGGCAGGTCTGCTTGAGCTTCATTAACTGTCTTGCGGTGAAACGATGCAGCCAACTGCCCATCACCCCAGTCACACCCCGCCGCAAAGACTCCAAATCCTTGACTGTAGATGACTGTAGGACTGACACAGAAAGTAGGCATGTCTGCCAAAGTGGCAAGCACGAGAAGAGTGCGGCCCTGGATATCCAACCTGCAGGGCTTCGGAAAGCAAAACATCTTCCACGCCTTGGGCGAATCTTTTTGATTGGAAGTTCGGGTGCAGGCGCCATCCTTGATCCTTTCGTTTGCTTCTTGAAGTCTGCCTTCAAAAGACCTGTGGCAAGCTGGCTATGAGCACGGCCTCCTCAGCGCCCACAGAAGGCCCTCCCGCAAGTTCTCGAAGTGAGACCTATGCAAGCAAGCATCAGACGATCCGATGTGACCACAAGTCCGGGCAAATCGAGATCAGATGCAACCTACAGAACTCGCAGGACTTGAAGTGGAGCCCACTTGTTGAATGAAGCTGCCTCGTAGCTACACGCCTTTCAACATCGTGAACGTCTCTGTTAGCCGAGCCACTTCCGTCCGTAAACTTGCTCCATGAAGTCGGTCCTTGGCCCGTGGATCCAACGAAGTTGCCCTATTAGGGCCCCGAGTGTTCCAAGCATTTTTTGGCAGAGCTGATCACAACGGCTACCCAAACCAAAGTCACCGCACCCAACAGATGCTGTTGCATCAGACGATACTTGGATTTCTCAACAATGGCTGCGACTGCAGCCAGGCCACACAGCTTGGGAGACCTCCATGCACAACTGCAATGCTAGCAGCCGGCACTTTCATGCAACGGTGCAGGAACCCCCCCCCAAAAAAAGCAGGGAATCGTTTCGGGGGGGCCTGCTCCAAGAAAAGATGCCCGCGTTCAGAGTTGGAGGCATTGCTGGTGGCCCTTTCCAAGCTGAGAGGTCCTGGCTGGGAGTTGACTGCGCGTGGGTTTAAGGCGAGACGATGGTTGGTGGGTCGTGATTTCCCCGGCTGGGGCGTCGCATAATTCGCCACAGAGTTTCTTTCTTAGCAAGCGTCGACAGCTAAACTGCTGGGCGTAATCATATCTTCTCAAACCCTAACATGCCCAACGTAATCTCACTTGTCTTCGGCACGTTCTCCTGACAAGGTGTCCGTCGGTGACTGCAGTGTCAGCGTGACCCAGATGGAGGCACCCTCGAAGAGTCGGCCTAGGTTCATGACGGTTCATGTGTTCACAGGAACGGCTGGCTCCCATAAACACGCATCACACTCTAATGCAGAAATCACAGATCAAACGAAGCGAGTGGTTCGCCGGCTGCGTTAACATCCGCCAGGCTTCCAGGATAGTTGCAGAAACGAGTGAATTCCGCCAGCATCGCTGTCTTGCCAAGCCCCGCTGCCTGGAGCAGGTCTCGCCCGCAGGCAGGAACATCAACGTGCAGATCTATGCGTTGCGTACATTATTAAGTCTATGTCTGTATGTCTATATATATATATATATATTATACATATATATATATATAAGTATTTAGTTCTATACCTGTACAGCTGTATTATGTGTATATATATATATATACTATATTTATATAATACTTATGTATCTATAAAACTATTCAGTGGTTTCATATGTGTGTGTGTGTGTGCGTGCTTTTGTGATTCTACACATTAGAATCATTAGACATACATTCATACATGCATACATACATACATTGACATACATACATACATACATACATACATACATACATACATACATACATACCTACATACCTACATACCTACATACCTACATGCATGCATGCATGCATGCATGCATGCATGCATGCATACGTGCATACACACACATACATACATACATACATACATACATACATACATACGTACATGCATACATTTATACATACACACATGCATGCATACATACTTACATACATACATACATACATACATACATACACACATGCATGTATGCATGCATGCATGCATGCATGCATACATACATACATAAATACATACATACCATACCATACCATACCATACCATACCATACCATACCATACCATACCATACCATACCATACCATACCATACCATACCATACATACATACCATACGTATATACGTACATAAGTGCATACATACACACATACATCCATCGATCCATCCATCTATATGCATGCATGCACGCCGCCATACATACTGACATACAGACATACACGCACGCATAAACAGCCTGACACACTCTACCGCAACTCCATACGCCACTGTATTATGCAAACATGGTCTGTCCTCATATCACAGAGGCTTACATCTTATTGTTCAGGCCAGATATTTAACCGCACTGAACAAAACATTATGCAACACAGTATAGATATAGCACATGCTCTTAAAGCTAATATACTCAAATGGCATTTCAGTTGATTGATGAGGAGGCCTTGCCCCAAACATTGACGACACGAGCATGCCGATCGCCACCACGACTGAGGTGTCTGGCCATCTCCACCTGGTCCAAAGGCAGCACAGAGTGAAGACCCGTAGTCTAGCGACACTTATCTTCGTAGTAGTCGTAGGAGGGGGAGGAGCAGGAGCAGGAGCAGCAGCAGGAGTAGTAGCAGCAGCAGCAGGAGTAGCGGCAGTAGCCATAGCAGCATCAGTAGCAGTAGCAGTAGTGGTGGTTGTAGTGGTAGTGGTGTCAAAAAATCCGGAAACAGATCCAAGGCGAGTCACCATCTCTTGCGCTCGCCCAAGGAAGTGCTGATGGCGTCCTGCAGCAATCTGCATTCTGAGAGGAAGCCATACGCTAACTTGTGACGGACGACATCTGAGCACGCTGAAGGCTACATCAGGTAATATCATGCCAACCAAGTCTAGGTGTCTACCTGATCACAAACAACTGATTGGCATGGCCAGCAGGAGCAGAACTACCGACGCCATCATGATCATACATGCGGCAACAGCGGAGTGCAGCATTGTCAACTAAACCTGGAGCGACTGGAAGCACGGACATGTGGACTGCACCTTTTCTAGCTCTGCCAGCAACATCAACAACGGATCAGCGTCACCACAGCAGAACATCGTAGCAAGGAAGCCGTGCCGAGTTGGAGTCACCGGGACCCTCCTGGCAGTACGCTCTTGGACGTCTCGCTCCCTCCAGCGCCCATCCACTGGCCAGGGAGGGGAGATCGCGATGGGAATGCCAAGCACTTGAAAAAACTTCAATCTAGTCTTCCAAGGTTTGGTGCAGTTAGATCCGGTTTACACTAGGAGGGCTTGACACCTTGTGTATGGCTTGACGACTTGACGGCACGAGGGAACACCCGAACCTCGTAACGTTCGATCAAACCCTGTCCCCCGACCCGAATCTAACAGAAACCCTAGACGCGGCCTGGAGCGCCGAGGCTGCATTGCCCAGCTGCCGGCCATCCAGAACCTGCCAAGCACGGCCACGTGCGAAAGTATTGCGAAACCAACTGCGAAAAAGCCCACTGCCTCGCTTTATCTGTTGCCGAACAAGCTACGAGCTCGTAGTAAACAAGAATTAAGGAATGGCCTTGCTAGTTCTAGATCCCACCGAACCATACCGAACCCGTGCAGCTCACTCTGTCAAACCCTCCTCCATACCTCAACACTGGTCGACAAACTCGACCTGTGACATTTTGGAAGCTCTGGCTTACCCGTGACATGACCCAGCAAGGACTGCAAGTGTATATCTCGTCGTGACGATGGACGTCTCTTACTACGCCCACTCCGAGCCCGCGCAGTCAGAAGCTGCAATGTGGCGCCGTAGTGCCCTCAGCGGGTCACAGGGTTTGTGCCAAATCCACGCATGAACCGTGACTTTGTGTATGTTTGCCTATGGACAAAAGAGCAATTTATTTAATTGAGGACGAATCAGCCGTCCTGCCTGTGACGTTGGCGACAGAACCACTCCTTGCTACGTTGAGCCACGGCGCGTGCCATGGGAGCCACTGATAACCCTGGGTAGCGGAGCACATCCTCTTGCCTGACGAGAAGACAAGACCCATGTGATCTTTCCAATCAGATCCTTTCGGCGCTCCAACTTGCAGCCGCTTCTAGCATCGAGCGTCGTCCCATGTAGTCACACGCCTACAATCCCTCGAAAGCCTTGGCAGCAGCAGGAACTTCGGCGCCTCTGCACGCAAGCCCGCCTCGACAGCCGGGCAGTGCCCAAAATTTAGATATCGTCGTTAGTTCATGTTTACCGCTTTGCAGGCCACAACTCTACGGATGCCCGGAAAGAGGGCATCATGACATCGTCATGATTTCTGCAGCTACAGTAACTGACACACGGCCACGCCTGCGGTGCGGTAGCTACGCTCTCGCGTGCATACTCGTACGCAGAGAAAACCTGTCAAGGCTGCTCACACCAAGCGGGCGCATGTGGAGCATTTTTCAAAGTGCGACATGCAAGCATCATCTTCTTGACAGATGATGCGTGCATTCCCATCATTGCACAACCATGCTCAACGCGGATGACGGACACGTGTTCACATACTTTTGGACTCAGCCCGCCTGTCTCCCTGCTGCCAGAGCTCGGTAAAATGCCTAGCGAGGGCTTGAGCAGAGCTGGTTGGTGCTTGCTGGCACTTCAACGGAGACTCTGCCTTGGTGAAGGTCTTGCAAGCCCCGTCGAAGACGCGGCCGCGGCAGCAGATGACATGCGGCACACCAGCTTCCATGAAGGCACCTCCAACCGGTGTCAAGGCAGTGGCATTCAGAATCGCTTGAGGAGCAGGAGAGGGGCAACTTCATAGATGACGTTGACGTTTAGCTCAGTTGAACCCGAGGAAGCGCAAGGGCTGAAACAGTTCGTGAGCTGTCATACCTATCCAATCAGCCCGACATGCTGAGAACCCAGACCCAGGCCTGCAATGCCTTCAGAGTCGCAGCAGTTCAGAAAAACCGCGCTGAGCGGACACTTCCGGCCTGCAGGCATCACACTTTCACACGCCGAAGGCTCGAACTCAGAGGACCGCCTTGGTCCTGGCTTTGCCGGAGCCATTGCAGCAGTCGCCAACGGGGCAGCGGCTGAGAGCAGCCCACCTGACGTGCGAGTTGGGGCGATGTAACCCAGGATCCAATGTTACTGGGTACTTGGAGGTTCGTGGGTAGTTATAAGTAGGGTTATAAGTCCCCTAATATGGGTTATAAGTATAGTTACCCTACTGATAACCCCACTTATAACTACCCATGAACCTCCAAGTAGGTTGTCAGTTGAGGCATGTCGAGCTGCTTAAGGAGCCTCTTCGGCTTGGGGTTTCGGGTCGGACTGCTGCAAATCCGAAGAGCCCTGCGCCCTTGACGTCACCGCTCCCTGCCCGCCTCGTCCTCCAGCAGGAGGAAAGGCCTCAGTGCAAAGCTCCGGGTGTTCCAGAACAACCTCTCCTCCGCTCGGCTTTCCTCTAAGTCTCAAATCTCGGTTCTCCAGCTCTGCACCCTCCGCGGCTCGGCTCCGCACTCGAGCGACCCGCCATTGGCGGCGTAGCCCGCGTGCATGGCACCTGACGGGAACCGTTGGCAGGCGGCAGGATCAAGGATCAGGACTGGTACTGTCTCGTCTCGAGCGGCCATTGTGCCATTGTGCGACATGCCACGCAGTGATACGCAGCGCACTCCTCATGCTGCTCCCGAGACACAGTGAAGGAATACCGGGGAGTTCGGCCAAGCGCTGTCGCCATGTGCTAGGAGCTCCTTGGCAGGTAATGTTTCTGGAAGCAAGGTTCATAACTAAAGCTCTGAACCACGCAGTTGTCGTGGTTGTTGTGGCTGTAATTAGTGTGTTGTTGCGGTTGTGGTTGTGGTTGTGGTTGTGGTTGTGGTTGTGGTTGTGGTTGTGGTTGTGGTTGTGGCTGTGGCTG